TAGTCTACATCATTGTTTATTCGCTAAATCTGTTTCCATTGCCAAAAGTCGCATTTTCCTAATATCTATACGCTGACTTTTCCACCCCCTCCAAGCGTAAAAACTTTTTTGCGATATTTCGGCCCTTGTTCAAATTTCTGGTGTTTCCATTCACGTTTTTTTTTTTTTCGCAATTGTTGAAAATGCGAATAAAAATAGGTGGATGTAAACCCACCTATTGTTGTTGTCTACCTGCAACAAGCTTGCTCATAAGTCTAAAACCTTTCAGTATTGGTCACTTTTTGCCCAGCAATCAGAGTAATATTTTCACTTTGGTCAGCTTAAAGATATGTAAAAGATGTTCAAATGTCTTATACTCTACGGACAACTTTACCTGCCTTCTCTTCCTGTCACACTCTGCTCCTCTCCTCACACTGTCCTTTCTCCACACCTCCTATTTAGCCCAAACAGACCGTGTTTCGCATTAGCTTTGCTCCTGCCAAAACACAGTCCTTTCAACCACCGTTAACTTAAAAAAAAAAAAAAAAAAAATCAGAGGCAGTCTCTTTGAGAATGGCATTCGTGTTTAGAAGTGTCAGAAAAACATTTCAAAGGCACTTGCCAAAGCAGCAGGGTCTATTCTAAAATGATGGCTAACGTTAACGCAAGCTAGCAAGCGAGAAAACAATACAGCTAACATTAGCTAGCTAATGGACATCTAACCATGACCTCACTGACTTGGCTAACGTTACATTTCAACAAACACACAGATAATCAAATAATCGAGATTAACGTTATATTAACAAGAAGAGATATAATAATAATAGGCCTAATTGTTACATATTATAATAATTCTCTGTACACTTAACATCTCTCACGGTAGCCAGAGCCCCATGAAACACCGGTTGCGCTCTCGTTGACAAAACATAGGCTGCAGGATGCTACCAGGAGGATCGCTTTGTTTCAGACAAAGATTAGGACACATTTTGACCAATGAAAACTGGTGAGGTGAAACGCTAGGCTATACAAAAAAAGCACCAATTCACATCTGATCTAATCCGAGGGGTGTATAGACTACAGTAAAATAGCCAACCAGACACTTTCTTTTTTTTTTTGCGTATTTTCAGCGGACTTCTCGTACCTCTGTACTTTGGGTAAGAAATGCATGCTTTGTACGCAGGATGCATGCACGTTGGTAGACTTGCATTTTAAAGTATCCTCTACGTTTTCCTGATGACTGCTTCATGAACTGGGAACAGGTTACATCTGGATTTTCGCAGCGGAGACACGGGGCATTTCACTTTGTTGGGCAAATATGGAGATTTGGGATAACAATCTGTACACTTTTGAGTTGTGAATTTGTTGTGTAAAAACAAACAAGGACGCCATTACATAGAGTTCAAGTGCAGAGTCGATGGTTGTTGCTAATGTTAAGCTGTACACCCAGTGCTTAGCTTTAGACCCCAGCTAACTTGCTAGTTAGCGTAACTGTTTTGAAATGCTTTTGTTTCTCAGGTCATAGTACACTGCTAGCTAGGTGGTTTCAGTAACATGAACTGAACGATTGAATTGTGGAGAATCTAACCATGCTAACTATGTGTAGCATGTCCATGTGGACAAAAGTTTAAACACTGATATTTGTCATGGGCAATCTAAGTAGTGACCGTTAAGTCAAGCTGGTAGCAGATAACCGTTTCCACACAGATTGACTTGGTTAGGTTTGGGAAAGATTGCAGTTTTCATTAAAATTACTACTTTGATAAGGTTTAAGGGATCTTCATCATCATGGTTACTTGGGGTGTTAATTACAAGCTTCATCAAGATACAATATTAGATTGATTCTCTGCAACGACATGATTTCAATTCAATTTAGGGTCAGTGATCCATAGGGGACTAAATCATAAAATATCCTCATTGTCTTTTTCTTGGCTGCTTGCCGTTGCCTGCCTGGCGTTAGACTGCTAGTACTGTTTGAATGTTTATTAAAGATGTGTGCTTGGATGGAAATGTTGGCACAAACGTGCCCTGGATATTTCAAAATAAAGGTGTATCTTAAGATTGTGATATGCATTAATGTTTTCACTTTGCAATGATAATATCGGATGATTGGATCGTTGATCATTGAATCAATATATCAGTCCAGATCAATGTATTGTTACATCCCTAATGGTTACAATATTCAACACATGGTTAAGTTTAGAGAACGGTCGTGGTCATGATTTAAAAAAAACAAAAAAAAACTGACTGTCAACTTGAAGGCCTTGTTGGTCTTGCCATCCACCTCGAACTCCCCATGCTATGTTGATCCATAATAACATCACCCGACTTCTTCATTTGCTCCTATCCTAATAACTATGGCCACTAGATAGCACCGTCACATTAATGTAAACATATGGAATTTTTTGACTGCTGCTGAAACTGTCGTTCTTATTGAAAGAGTTCACAATCAGTGTGATCATTCCTCATGTTTATACTGATCCCTTCCTAGCATGACTCCCATGTAATCAAACAAGGAAAACAAACAACCCTGTCCACAGTAAATGCTACAAGTGTTGCTGGAGTTTCTACGCATTTGATTAATCTCCCTTCTCCATCTCCATGCACCTTGGAACTAGGTGAAGTTACTCCACAAACCCACAGCCTGCTTTTGCAAAATCCACAGCTATCATTCTGTGTAAAAATGCTATCTAAAGCCCCTTTCCCACTGGACAAAAGATGCCATCACCCACTTTGGCCTCTGTCTTTGGCCTTTAAGTGGGATAGGTCACAATCAGCATTCATTTCTGGGAAAAATGACCATGCAGGTGTTACAGATAGTTATTGGCTCGAGCTCTGATGGGTACTTATGGACACAGGTGGACACGCTAGTTTTGTATTTGCACCTTTTGAGTCATTATGCAGTGACACACCACCACAAATTCTGTCGCAATCCAAGCAGCACTTGTACATTGTTCCAAATTAGTTGGCAGAGTTTAAAAGAAAGACTGAATAAGTAACCGTTTCTTTAAAAAAACAAAAGGCCACTGGCCTCCATGCTGCTTACTGTTTACTCACCTGCTCTCCGGCGTATTTGTGGCATCACATGTGTAACACCAGAAAAAAACAGCAGAAATGGATGCTCATCTACTGGCAATGGAAGCTGAGTCAATCAACTATGTTCAGCGACTTTTCCAGAGTTAAAAAAAAAAACACATATGGGATTCTTTTGGTGGAAAAGGGGTATAAAATTCAGCTGAATCTACTAACTTTGTCACATCACACTGGTTACATCCCTCTTTTGTTTCTACGGACTGTGTTTCTGCCAAGTTACATGAAGGGATATAACCCAGTAGCTTTGAAAGATACTCATATGATTTCACAAACACATTGCTGAAGCTTTAATTTACCTTTGGCTCAACTTTGTTGTGGCTCTAAAACGGTGGTTGTACGTTGCACAGTGAGGTTCTAGGATGGCCGTAGTCGTGGCCTTGCAACAAAAGACAGCCTAGGATAACATTCTGAAAATGTCAGAAATTTGGGATGACCATGTCACAGTGTGACCTTTGTTACAACTTACGTCTACTAACCAACCAATAGAAATGAAATGCCGCACTGGCACTAAACCCAAACAAACAGACGGACAGCAGCTCGCCATGGAGGCAAATGTGCTTAAAGAAATGTGTGAGATTCCAGTAAAGAGGTAAACCCTGTGGAATTGTGACACCAGAAGCCTTGCCTGTATGATGTGTCCTACAGCTCTTACCATGAACACGTAAAGAAGGACGAAGCATGGAAGGAACTGCAGTATATAGTGGCCACAGAACTTTAGCTTATGTAATAATGTGACCCTCTATGTTGTGCTTCACAGTTGCAAGAGTAATAACCCATGCAGCATCCTAGTGCACTCAGTATGGAAAGCTATAGTACATCGTAGCCTGCGATTCAGTGGGCACTGTCATCATACAGTATAGTCAGTAAACATCAAACTTGATGTTGCACAGTGTAGCTTGCACTAAACTTATAAGACTGCTAAAATCACAGTCTGTAGGAGGCTTAACACTTAAAGGTTTAGTCAAGTTTACATTTGTGCTGTTACAAGTGGCACAAGCTGAACATTACACTGAGCTACTCTTGTAGCTCTCTACTTAGACAGCTTGTGGTGCTCAGATGTTACAACTGACTCAGGTTAGCTTGATGTATTGCAATGGTAGAATGTAAAAAAATAAAATTACTCAAGTACAATTATTAAGTACTTGTACTTGAGTATTTCCATTTTATGCTTCTGTGTACTTCCCCCTCATTAAAACCCAAAATGGCAGAATATTAATAAGTGTAAATTAGTTCCATCTTAAAATAAGTAAAAAAAAAAAAAAAAAAATCAGAGTACTTTTTCCACCACTGTTCTGGTGCAGTTCAACTGTCACAGCTACATAGTGTTTTGTTTGTTGTGACAATAACAATACTAAATGTCATCACACTAATTTATATTGTTATGTGGTTATTTTTGTCCTCAACACAAATTTGTGGATATTTGCCAAATCATAATTTCATCCTATTTCAATGAAGTGAGCTACTTCACATTGTTTCCACATACAGTACACCCTGGCAATTGCAGGGATTCCCATCCAGCAGTACTTCTCTGCTACCAAGGACAGTCACATAAATACACACACACGCACGCATATGCACACACACGCACGCATATGCACACACACACACACACACACACACACAGTACTGGACTTGGCCTGTGTGGTGTGTGTATTTGTTGACAATGGAAGTACTGGGGGTTGGGTTGGCTGAGCAAGAGGTGTCAGGCACAATCCCATCTTTAGCCTGAGCAGAACACCTACAACAGACAGCATACAGAGCACCATACAGTTAATACACACTCCTTCACTACCATCCCCATCACCACACACTGCAGTAATAAAGTAATAAGCTCTGATCCTTTCTGATTCACACTGTTGCATCATTTGCAACTCATGCAGTATTTTAGGTAACGCATGCACATATTATGAGGAAGCTCTGCAGTGACACGCTTCGGTTTATAACAGTATTCATTTATTCATTTCTTATGAATATGCTGTTAAAATCATGTCCGAACCTTAACATGCATGTAATAAATCCATCTCCTCATGACTGGTTTGGGGGATGCACAGTCACTGGTTTCCCTGGTTTTACTATGGCTTACTCATGGCCACTGGAAGGCATCATACACAGTATTCATCACTGCCCATAAATTCAGACAACATTGAATTGACTGATACACACACAAAATATATCCCAGGCAGAGCCCACAGATCCTTTAGAAGGAGTCAGGTTTTTTTCCCCACTGGAGGAGTCATAGCTTCAACAGCAGCAGTCAAACACTGCCCCCTACTGTCTGACCTCCAATACTAACTCAGGATAAAATGAGTGATAACATTGGCCTACATGTGACTGTATTTTAACTGTTGTCATTGCTACTTGTTTTCAAACACTCATGAAAAAGTTTCACATTTGTAACTTAAATTTGGTGTTGGCAACAGTCAGTATAGGGCACTAGTGTTGTGTGATTTGGCATCATAGCAACATCTGCTACAATGTTAAAAATTCTAAATTGGAAATGAATTTTTCATTTACAGAAAAATTAAATAGTTGAATCTGTCATCATGTCCTAATTCAGAGAATACATAATTAAAGCTTGACACCACAAAGACAAAATTTATCAACTTGAAATTAAATGCCTTAAGTTGTGTGCATGCCATTTTATCTGTTTAACAGCTTGAAGAAACTTTCCTTTTTGTCTTTCATTTTGTTGGCATTATTTTCAGGAAGCCAGTCTTCACCCTGTTTATGTTGGGTACTCCTTGTATTCAACCCAGTATTTTAGGTATTTGTACCAATAAAGTCCTCCACTGTTAGACAGTCTGGTCTGTGTGCAGCTGACGTCCAGGACTCATCTTTATTTTGTCTCAGTCTCGTGGCGTGCCAGTGCAGGAGGTAAAGTGCTCCCACAGGGGCCCTGGAAGTGGAACCTGGAAAACAAAAAGGAGTAGTTATGTCTATGCTGCAAACGTGACAAATTAGTGATATTTTGTGATGCGCATTTCTGATTGTGATTAAGTAAATAAAACGTACATGAAGCGCATGGTGGCCGGTGTGTCTTCCGTGTTGAATTCAGCCACAGGAACACCTCTGGCTGCCACCTGAGGAGCAAACATGGCTGCTGGATACACAATGGAGGAAGTGCCAACCTGCAGTGAGAGTGAGATTTTATTGAAAATTTGAATGAAGTGAATACCTTGACAAGTTGCATTAGCGTAATTCCTACTGCAAATAATCTTATATAACATTATTTTTCCTCTTTATTTAAACACTGCACAGCTCTATTCATTTTTTCACAGATATATGTTACATATCTTTTACTGTGAATTTCTTTTATGGTATAAGGAGTTATCAAAACTTTAATAATTCCTGAGTCTGGAACAAATTTGCATGTTGTCAAAGACATTTGTGAGAAATATCAAACAGTCATACAATTATAAATGAGTATGTAAAAAAAGTGGCAGGCACATAAGAAAATTTAGCAGTAGCATTGATGCCCTTTATAATTTTGGTTATGAACTCTATCATGCAATCATGCAATCTCACACACACACACACACACACACACACACACACACACACACGTACCACGAGGCAGAGGTCACAGCTGTCCAACACTTGCTCTGCTTGGCTGAGGATGTTTGAGTTCAGAGTCTCTCCAAACCAAACCACAGCTGGTCTCAGGAGACCGTGACAGCCCTTCTGCTCACACCTGAAACACACACACACACACACACACACACACACACACACACACACACATACACACTTTGTCAAAACAAATAGCCTCATTTGAAAAGAGCAGAGCACTAAAGAGAACATGAGCGCGTGACTTACCTGGGCAGCTGATCAACAGGGATCTGGGCATCAACTGTTTCTGGGTCTGGAGCTCTGAGGAGGCAGTTTGATAAATTCATGTCATTTAATACTGACACAAACTCCCTATCTGATATTTCTGTTTTCCTTCATATAACAGCTACACAGGGCATTCTTCAAATACATTATAGTTAGTAAATCCAAAGCATCTTAGGTGAGATGTGATTGACTATCGAATCTGTTTTTCACACAATAAAATAATAAAACAAACAACATGAAATACTGACCAAAAAGACACATTAGCCTGAAAACTAACATGCAAAGTAATACTTTCAATACTAATTTATTTAATTTGATCTCATTTTATTTACTAATCTTCTCCATGAATATGTTCATTCCCACTAATGTTTAAATTCAGCTTTAACACAGTGAGATGTTTAAGTCACCTTTATGACAGGAGATTTCATCAGAATTACCATTAACAGTCCGTACAGATCAGTTTTAACGTTACATGATCTGTTCAGATAAGCATTTTGAATCTCAGCACAGGACTTTTGTCATTTCATCCAGAGCAGACACTGGATTTATTAGTGGAACATTTCCGCTATTAAAAACATCCATCTTAAATGTCAGATAAGTGACAGAGTGACATTTCGTTTCAGTCACGTCATCAGGTGTTATTTAGCTGCTGACATCTGACAGACTGAAACAGACTTTTTTTCTGTCATTTTGTGCTCAAATAAATATGATCAATATCTCTTCTAGCACATATTCATATTGTAAAGGACAACAGTCCTATTCAGCAAACGTCAGAGGAAGCTCTTACCCTTTGCCGTCTAGAGCGACACAGATGGGGCTCTTGTAATTGGCTGCTTCATGGCCACAGCTCATACAGCGCGTTCTAAATAGACTTCCTGGATTTATAAAACAAGAGACAACAGATTAGTGCTGAAACAACTCAATTAATTAGTTAGATGAAGAAAAGAACAAGTGCAATAACAAATTGGAGAAACCATCTCTCAATAGAGGAGGTCTGCAACACCACCTATAATGCTGTCCTTTCATCCTTGCCCAGGAGATTTAACAGCTTAACCTCTAAAAACAACGGTCGTTCACAAATGGCCTCATGTGACTCTAACGACTCCAACGACCACAGATACAGCAGGAGTTTCAACGACCGTCGTTGACACACCATTGGAGCACTAACGAACCAGTGACATCTTTGGCCTTGTGAAACCAGAGGTTAAATACCTGGGTTGTTTCCACACCAGTTTGTCAGACTAGTTCCAGCCTAGTCTGACAAGCATGAACTGATGAAGCCTCTTGGATAAGAGGTGAAATGTCTTCTAAGACAAAACTAAGTCCAGTTGCGTTCGATTCAATTGCCTTGAGATAGTTAGAAGGCAGAAAATTAAACAAGTATTCTAACAATCAATTAATTTTGTGTAATATGTAAAAAAACAAAAAAAAAGCCAGAAAATTTTAAGTCCTATATTCTCTGGGTTGAAAATGTATATATATTAATCGTTTAAAACTTAAATTATGAACAGTTCTTCCTGTTTTTATGATATTATATGGACTAAACAAATTTGCAACTTAATTATTGGGGTCTATAAAATGGCAGAATATAGTAAATGGAGCACATCACAATTTCCAAATGTCTGAGGTGATGCCATCTAATTTACTGTTTTGTCTGACCAACAAAGAAAAGCAGCAAATCTTCAAAATTTAGAAGCTAAAATTAGACAAATTTTGGCATTTTTTTGCTTGAAAAGTTACTTTTTAATTCTTAGTTGAGTGCTAGAATAGTTAAGAATACATTATTTAATCCATGCTGGTATTAGGTGTCTTCAGTGTTTTCTACTTGCCATGTATTTCTAGTATGTTTTTGGATCCAGCACGGCGGTGGAGCTCGTCGATATTTTGAGTGATGACTGTAACTGTACGTCCCTGTTTGCTCAGTCGCTCCTCACACTCTGCGATGGCCTTGTGGGCAGGGTTGGGCTTTTTAGTCAGCATGAGCTCACGGCGGTAGTGGTAAAACTCCCAAACAAGGGAGGGATTCCTGGAGAAGGCCTCTGCCGTGGCAAGGTTCTGAAAGGTGAAAACGTGAGAAAGGGTTATTAACATCGACAAAAATCAACGCTGGTCAAAAAGTTTCTGAGAAGAAAATTATTACCTGAAGCTCTATTTTTCACAATTGTTGACATTCAGGCTTGATAATGGAAGACAGATGAAAGAGCTACAGAGACAACTGAGTGCAGACTCCTCTACACAGCTTCAGAAATGCAATGAAGTTCCCAATGAATTGGTGATCTCAGTTTCTAACTATTTTTAGTCACAGTAAAACTTTCAGCGCACTCCATGGATTGTCTCTGAGATGCTTAATAGATAAAGACTCCTCGACCAGAAGAGGACTGTAGAGTTACTTGTTAAGTTTCTTAGCACTCTCAGAAGTTTCCCTCGTGAAAGATTATCACAGTTTTATGAGTCTTTCAATCATGCAATGAAATTTGTTAATATGCTGCTGTGCAGTTTTAACAAATTAAAGTGATAGATTGATCTGTGAAAACTGAAGCAGCAGGAGTAAAATGTTCCTTATTCTAAGGAGGATTGTCGGTTGCAATATGGATATGAGTATTGGGAGGGTAGTTTCTTACATAGTTGATTTACAAAATTAAATTACCCCTCTGGGTCTCCTACTAGTAGGTGTAGGCTGGGAAACCTCGGCGTAGACAGAGAACATGCGAGATAATTTATGTCATCTGGCCTGGGAACATCTCAAGATTGCCCAGGAGGAGCAGGAAAATGTTGCTGGGGAGAGGGACATCTGGACAACCCTGTTTAGTTGGCTGCCAATGTGACACACCCCAGGTAAGTTGCAGAAAATTATTAGATACAAATTAAAATGAATATTGTTGAAAACACTCAGTTGCCAGTTTGTTGTATATACCTAGCTGAAACTAATGCGGTCTAAATACAACAGTCCTGCAATGAATCATCCCTTTATGAAGGTAATATAGTTTTTTCCCCAGACTGTTTAGACTTCACAATCATTTGAAAGGTTGCAGTCTGCGGTGCAATACAGTTCAATAAAATAATAATATGGTTGCAAACCTGTGATTGCCATGTTCTCCAGTAGCCTCCAGTTCCTCTGAAGGTGGGGACTCCACTCTCTGCACTCACCCCTGATCCAGTGATGATGGCTATATGGTTGGCCTTGGAGAAAATCTCCCTGAATGATGCCAGGTCTGAACATTAACACACCCAGAAACACAAATATATGACAGACAAATGATAATAATATAAGTTAGTGGATTTGTGGATGACTTATACTGTATAATAATTGCTCATCAGGAAGAGGAGGTAACAAAAGCGTTAACTGTAAAGAATAAAGACGACCTGAACTTGGTCTGGCCATGTCTTGGCAGCCCCGCAGTCTTTTCAGGTGGCCATGAAGGTGAGAGTTTATGAGGCCTCTACAGGTGAGCTGGCGCACAATCATTGGATTTTGGCTACTAGGGAAAAAAGTATGACTGTGTTCACAATGGAAATAAACACTTTATGCAACCAGTGTGAGTACTGGTTTTACAGTTGATACGTTTGCACACAACGTTATTTTCTTCAAATAACTGCAAGCCAAAGTAGCAACAATATGTATATATATTAGGATTGTCACTTCTGGCCGCCATCTTTGTTTGTATGAACAAAAAAAAAAAAAAAATAGGAAAACGAGAATTTTTGTTTGTTTGTTGCACTCTAAACTATTGTTCTGACAACATGGAAATGCTTTTAAGACTGAGGCGAGAGTCTCTAAATAGCCACACAAAGATTTTCTTCAAAGTTTGACTAGTTTTTATCTTTCACTAAAACATTTGCTAAGGTCTGCCAAAGTCTCGTGATGTAAAAGCGACCTGGTGCTAGCTCACACTGTGGTGATTTTTGTTCTCAGGAAGGTCACTGAGGCTTTATAAAGCTAAAAGGTCACCTAAGCACAAAACTAGCCTGCTAACGTTACTTAATTATATCTAACAGTTACCAATAAGACATGTGTAAGGGCATTACAATAGATTCATTCAGTATCACACTAACGTTAGTAAATACTACGATAGTTTTCTTGCGCAATAACAAGCATGGACCTTCCTTAACCGTATTTTACAAAAGCTGTCGATAGCTAGCGTTGAGATATGCTTGCTAGCTAGCTGAGCTAACAGCTTGTGAGCACATTTAACGGAAGCTAGCTAGCGCTACAAAGCCATTGACGACATTACGCTGTGAAGGCAATGTGGTGTGCCCATGGCTGTATATGTATTTCCAGAGATGAGTCGTGGGACCTTTGTTAGAGCTGTATTTTCCTAACGCTCCCTGACTAACGGTAGCTACCTGGAGCCAGGACCATCAGCTGAAGGAGGCAGGAACTGTGTCGTTGTTATCTGTCATTCACCAGCTCAGCAGCTGTAGTTAGTGGATTGGTTTAGCTGTGAGGGAATGAGCCTATGAGGAGGGTAAGCGAGGTAAAAAACAACCCCACCAACAACAACATATGACCAGCAGAGGGAGCAATTTCACGAATGTAGTCTTTTTACTGTATGTGTAATAATGTTTTTAAGTAACATTGACCACCAAAGAGACATCATTGTGGGCAGAAAATACAGCTTCTTGTAGGCATACTTTTGAACTTTTTAGGTTTGTTCGTAATAACTACATATTTAATGTGCTTAATCATTTACTTTTATTCATAAAAGAAGAGTACTCACATCTTACAGTTGAGTAAAAGTAGCAATACAGTGAAATACTGTATTAAAGTAAAAACCCTGCATTCAAATGTTACTTAACTAAAACTACATAAGTATTAGCATCAAAATGTACTTAAACGTACTTATTATGCAGAATTGCCTGTTTCTGAATAATGTTCAGTGATATTATTGATTATAATCACTGATGCATTAATGTGTACATTCTGTCAGTACTGCTGCTGGTAAAGTGATTTTTATATTTTTCTTATATAGCCTGGGTAGCTTGGGTATTTTACCAATGGATCAATAAAGTCTTATCTTAATTTATAATAATACATCAGAATTTATTTGTTGGAAATTTTTAGTATTATTTGTCTGAATCAGAATCAAATAAATGTAGTGGAGTCAGACGTATCATGTTTCCCTCTGAAATGTGGTGAAGTAGCAGAAATGGAAATACTCAAGTAAAGCACTAGTACCTCAAGTCCTTCAATATACAGTTACATTCCGCCACTGACCATAGCTGCCAATCACAAAATAGTTCATATTTACATTAAATCACCGTCCCCTGAGTGTGAATTCTTACTCAAATAACAGTGAACCCATTGAACCCATTTATAATCATTTATTACTCTTCATTCTCCACTAGAGGCCAGCATTGGATAAACAGAGTATAAAGCACAACATTAACACAGGAATATATTATGGTGTTTCTACTATGATCATTCTGTGTGACCTGAGATTGATTGACAGACTGGTTAATTACTCAAGCAGTCCCAGTGGGGATATTTCAGTGTTACAGCAGCCAGATCATACAAACAGATGAGGCACGCAAGAATAATATTATATGTTTTAGCTGGTATGAGACTTTACTAACATTACAATTTCCCTTTTTGTACTACTAAACTCAAGTGCTCTTTCAACTGGTCAAGGCAAAGGCCTTTTCCACAGTTTCCATCCCTGTAGTCCTACTCCTGCTCCATGTAGGGAGTGTTAAATAATACTGTACAAGAGCTGGCTTTTTTTAAAAAGAAAAAGCAGCTGCAGTGTTTAGTCTATATAGATTTTGACAGTAACCTTATTGGTTAAACTGACAATGCCATTGTCAAAGTACCATGGGCGTTCTCATGGAATATATAAGTTTGGTATTTTTCTTGTCTTTATTTACTCCATTATCTGTAATTACAACATATGTTTTTGTCAAACTTTGAATGCATTTCTATTGGCCAGTCATACAGGTGCTGTTAAACTTAAAGACAAAGCTATTGCCTGTGATGTCAGAAAGCTTCTCTCAAAGAGCCATATGATGGTTTGTTTGCTCAAATCAGAATTTAAAGGTTTGACATTTCTTGAAAATAACTTTAAAGAAAGTGCTTGTAACTGGGGCATTGTCCTCAGTGTAAAGACATGAGATTGGCTATATATTTGCAACCAGCAGGAAAGAAATGTTTTGCAAAATATGACCAAAATTGTCCAAACTGCACACAAGCATGTTTGGATTCTGGATAATGACTACTATGAGTGCTTTAATTCACTAATGACATTTCAGTATTAAGTGTGAGCTTTACTTTTGTTTTTGTTTTTCCTACATTATAGAGTGACTTAAAGGCTGACTCATCCTGAGAATCTCAAGATGTGTGCTGCAAGAAATGATTATTTTCATTATTAATGCTAGATGCTGGAGATTATTTGTAGATCATCTTTTTCTAAAAATAATCAGTTAACTAATCAGCCTAATACATGTCAAATAATAGTGATAATGCAATCTCAAGTTCCCAGACCCCATGGTGACATCTTCAGAGTGCTTAGTTTGTTAGACTAACAGGCTGAAACCCAAATATATTAGTAAAAAAACGAAAAAAAAGCCACAAATTCTAACATTTGAGAAGCTGGAACCAGGTTGTTTTTGCTTGAAAAATGTCATTTTAATCAATTAGTGGTCGATTAATTTTCTGTCACTAAATAATTAATTAACTAATTATCTCGTCTCTCCTGTAGATATAGGCTAAGCCACACAGGAAAGGTGAAATCCAGTGACTGATGTGAATGTGCTGTGTTGCTTGTATTGGCCTGTGTGTTCTGAGCGTGGAATTGGAGCTTGAGCAGGTGGAGCTAAAAAAGAAAGGATCAGAAGCTCATCAAGCCTACCATCTCTCCTTCTCCCTCTCTCTTTCCCCTCCTACCCTCCATAGCCATTACAATAGCCCGCCCCCCTCCTACACCGTCTGCCCGGGCGGGTGCACGAGTGGCTGCTGCGGCGCCGAGTCTCTCGCAGTCCCGCCGGTCGCCAGTGGACGCTGCCCGGCTGGCCGAACATGGCGGCGGCCCCGGAGGAGGAGGTAGACCGCAGACCGATCCGGAGGGTCCGGTCCAAGAGTGACACGCCTTACATCAACGAGGCGAGGATCTCTCTGCACCTGGAGACAGGTAGGCAGCCAGCCAGCCAGCGACACGGATGCTCCCCACTCCATGTCGGGGCGTGTTAGCAGTCCCCACGGGGGAATATTATAGGGAATCGGTGTTCGCTGTGAGAGAAATTGCTTCATCGTTTACTGACAGTTCCCACGCATCAGCATGACTTTGGGCTTTCATTGTGCAGCTCTGGCGGTACCCATGGTGCTCAGCTGCACCTGGGTGTATGATAACCACACAGTGACTCACGGACTGAGAGATGAGCTGGGAGAGAATTTCCCACACATAGGCTGGCTTTTATTCCAACTATGCGTGTGATATGCGGTCTGCGGGGCACGGCTAGGTATTGGGAATGTAATTATCCCCGTAAGACGATTGATTGCTATTGCTCCAACCAGACTCCGCCTTGATTGTCGGCTGCAGTGAAATGCTGTGCGAACTTGGCCGCCTCTGGCTACTCATTTAAAATGCAGTTGTTATTATTGCATTTGGAGTAGGGTGAGGAATGGATGCTCCGGCATGCCACATCCTCGCCCTAATGTGATGTCTTAATCCCAGTTAGTGTGCACGAAAACAGGGGAGATAAGTTATTGTTTCCTTTAGTTGCCATGGTCACGATGGTACGCTGTCACGGAGCCTGGATCATCGGCATCATGGTATGGATTTACAGCCGGATCCATGTTCATTTTTTTGTCTTTTTCTTTTTTTAAAAAATAACCTCTTTCTCCTATGAAAATCCCTCCTCATCCTCGAGGGAGGCTGCTTTTATATCACATTAGTGCGGAGCTGTCCACTGCCCCTCGGTGCTGAATATGCCACATAGAATAGGCGAACAGAGCCCGGAGGATTTGTATGGAATCGGCATTCCTTTATTGGTGATCATCCAAATTACATATATGAGAGTGCTGTCTGTTTTTTAATGGGCTACTGCATCCGAATTGTGTTCGACCCTCCCCCAAAATTGGCCGATGTGACAAATCCTAGTCACATGGTGCTGTATAGCCTGGCAGTCTAGGCTAGACTCAAGCCTATATTTTCCAGTGCAGACAGATGCCAATTGCAGAAAATTCCCCTGCCTGACTATTGTTCTGCTTTGTCTTAATTTTCCACCACTGGTCTGTTGGACATGTAGCATGCAATGTCTTAGTCAGTAATGATTCAGTCAAAGCTCTATAGTTAAACAGAATTTTAATGCAAAGGTTAGTGTGTAAAATAATGTGTAGATGTGTTTTATTATTTTAAGCCTGTGTTGTTTTTGCCTCCAGCAAAGCTGAGAATGTGTGTTCAGAGCAGCCTTACATAAATCTTAATGAGATCAGGATTTACTCACTTTTTTTTTTAGCCTGCTTAGACCTTTATGACTCATAGTGCTCAGACCCACCTACCCATAATCTCTCTCAGCTGCCCTCTCTCTGGCCCTCAACAATCTTCCTCTCCATTTTGTTTCCTATTAAATGCAGCACCTCCTCTTAGCGAGATTAGCAGAGCCTTCCCAATATGAGTAACACTATTCTTTCTTGGAGCTTTGTGTCAGGCTTTCCATCAGGCATGGCTTGGATCTGAAGGAGGGGGGGGGGCTCTGCTGTGTCTTGCTAACAGTGCTGCTCCTGGCTATTAGCTGAAAACAGAGCGGGCAGGCTGCAGCTGCATGAGGCTGGTGTGGCATCATCAAGAATCCAGCAGGCACTGCCAGCTACGTCAGAAGAGGGATATTTGTCTTCACACCTTTTTCTTGAACTGCCAAGCATTCTTGATTTCTTTCCTTCCCTTTCTCTTTCTTTTCCCCCCAAAATTGCTTTGGTCTAATCTCATATTTTTTCAGCCATCTGCCCACCCACTCCCTCCATTCCCATTTACTTCATGTTTGTGTGTTTAGCTGCTGTTGTTTTGCATAAATCCAGCCCACTCTTTTCTTTGATGTGTGTCACCATTCATATGTGACAAATATCCATGCCATCTTCAGTGTGCATGTGTGTGTGATTGCCTGGTGTATGTGTGTGTGTGTATGTGTGAGTGGGGGGGGGGGGCTGGATGTATGTGAGTATCGGATTTAGTAAACAAGAGTTTATCACCAGGGCTTTTGCCAGATGGTTTGTTGTTGCTCTCTTGAGCTCAACCTTGTTTAGCCACATTCTGTGCTGAACCACAAGGTGATTTCACTACAGTTCGTTTCTTTGCTATCAGTGCAGAATCATCTCTCTGCTACTTGTTCGTATTGTACTCCAGGCCTTCATTGATGATTTTTATTAGTATCAAAACAGTTTGGGGAAAACAAACAGCAATTTTAAAGAATAAAACATGTACATAATCACAGATCTTGATGTCTCCTA